TGTTTTAAAAACATTTTGAAAAATGTTGTGAAAATATCGTAGAAAATATCAAAATCACGTTAAAATGTATGGCGCTAAAAATATTTTCATAACATTTTCCATAACATGTCCAGGATATTTTTAAAACATCATTAAAACGTTTCTGAATTTTGTTGACAATGTTTGTAAAATGTTTTATAAATGTTTTAAATATGCTTGTTTATAAAATATCCTTGAAAGATTTTTAAAATATAAAAAAAAATGTTTTTGCAGGATAAAATGTTGTGAAAATGTTCAAAAAACATTTTACAAAATGTTTTAATAATGTTCATATTCTCAAAACATCATGTTAATGTTATATGAATATCATTAGAAAAATGTTTTCTAGCATCATCTTTCAAATGTTTTATAAAATATTCAAAAAACATTTCAATCATGTTTGATCTGGGAGGGGGGGGGGATCCTGGGTACCCTCATGGAGCTACAATTATGGTTAATCTAATTCCACCTATTTCAATCCAAATTTGTCTAGTTTAGAGCCTGTGGCCCCTCTTTTCATAATCCTGGATCTGCATCTGAAAAACAACTGCTGTCATACTGATCTTTACCCCACATCTCCTTTTAATACAATTGTTTGTTGATTACAGTTGAATCTACATATATTTTGTTTACTTTTTTCGGATTGATGTCTCATTGGCATAACCCTTTTTTTGTATTGCCTAGAACACATTATAATTTGTCATGGTTTTTTTCTGATTTTAAATATCTTAGTGCATTTTTTTTAAAGTATTTCTTAATCTCATGTTCATGATGTTTGATCACATGTAGCATACGACATTTTTTTTCTGAACAGTTTTTTGACTGTTTTCTTTGCTGCTTTAGTAAACACTATACAAGATAGAATTACAATTATAAATGCAAAACATTTATTCAATATTTTCATATCACTATTCTTTTTCAAAGTTTCTTTTGTTCCATTCTCTTTATTTCTTTTGACATCTGCTGGCTTCTGTAAAATAAAGTGTAAACAAATTAGTCCTTCTGTTGTGATTAAACGAGTGGAGATTCAGTTAATTTCATTGAATTACACAATAAACTATTTTTCTTCAATTTAATCCAGTGTTTTCATAAAAATATATTGAAAAGTGTCATCTAATCAGTGTTAATGGACATGATGGATTCAGAGGCACAATTGTAGCTACTTTATACATCTGTAGAGTTTGGGGTGTAATTTATTATTACACAAGTGTAACGGTAGATTTCACCAGTTTATAAAATAAGACATATGTATACTGTACACTACAAATTACTCAACTGAGAGTAGCCAGCCATGTAGGGCCGGTAACATTTTCTTGGTCTTACAAAAAAAAAAAAGTTTCGTAATGGTTATATATTGTATATTTTAGTGCAAATACATGTAATATAGTTTGAGGATTTTAAAGAATAAATACCTTCATAAAATTTGCTCCTCCAGGATGGTTTGAATCATTTCTAAGCTTATATTCTTCTTTATAATCCCCATTTCCATTCTCAATTTTAATCTGCATTTCTGAAAATCTATCCTTAATGTTGGTACGTCTAATTGATCCTACAAAAGTTAAAATAAACAAAATAAATAAAATACAGGTAAGAAAAAATCACATTGTATTAGTCAGCTACAAAGGCCACAACATTAAAAAATAAACAGCTGCTACCATGAGCGCACGATACGCCCGTCGCTTTTTTCAAAGAAAAAAGTTCAATCACTCCTCTATGTCAAATCAGAAATTCATGAAAATTGAAAGTGAGCTTACGTCAATAGATATAAACAATTCGCCAAATTTTAATGAGAACTGCTGAAAGCATTTTTGAGTTATTGTCCGAAAACTGGAAAATTCTCCCTTTTTTAATGAATAAAACCCCAGAACTTGGAAATGTAAAATCTAAAAGTTATAGAAAACAATTTGGGAGCTTACGTCAATAGATATAAACTATTCACCAACGTTTAATGAGAATTGCTGAAAGCGTTTTTGAGTTATTGTCCGAAACTAGAAAATCCCGCTATTTTTAATGAATAAAACCCATGGACTCCGAAACGTAAAATCCAAAATTTAAAAAAGAAGGAAAGGGAGCTCACATCAATAGATATAAACAATCCACCAAAGTTTTAAGTTTTAATAAGTTAAAGCGTTTATGAGTTAATGTCCGACATTTTGACGGACAGACGGACAACCGTATACCATAATACATCCCGTAAACGGGCGTATAATAAAAGACAATTCAAACAATGAAACTAATGAAACTAATGGCATAATTTATAAAACAAATATGTCAGAATGAACCGACAACTACTGAATCAAACTCCTGTCTTGGGACCGACACATAAATAATTATCTGGCCTTGGGCTTGGCTGTAGGGCTAAACACAAATGTACAAGTTACATAAACAATATATTATAGCACAGGGGTGCATATCATAGATGTTTTGGGGCGGAAATACATGTATATGCCAGTCGACTTGTATGCATTATACATTGTGTTAATAGCAATTTACACAATGTATAATACATACAAGTCGACTGGCATATATCATAGATGTTTTGGGGCGGAAATATATGCCAGTCGACTTGTATGCATTATACATTGTGTTAGTAGCTCAGTCTGTTTAAGCCAACAAAGGGCTGACTTGTAACACAAAACTTTTCAGACATGCTCACTGGTTACAAGTGATTACATTTATGAATTTTAAAATCATATAAATAACCCTTAACACCTTTTGTATATTCGTAATGTTCACTGGACATAAACATCATAACATCTAGGCAGACTAAATCATCACCCCCCTTTTTGCATTGTGCTTGCATACAGTTACACTCGTATTAATTCTTGGAATATATTAATCAAATTAACCAAGATATTTCCAGAAGCATAACAATGTTTTATAAATGTGGACTAGTGTCATATCTTACCAGTTTTAACGCATGATAAGGTTATTCTTTATTTTGTACGTTTCCTTTGTCTTTGTTTACAGCATGGCGGTAAATAAAACTTCCGGTAACTGGTTCCAAAATTGCTTCGGATCATGTTCGTTGGTCATTGGGAACAGTTATATTTTAAATGTGTAAACGTTTGTTGTCGGTACTGGAACAGAAAATCCGGAAAATAGCAATACATGCACTATATAAGGCTATATATGAAGTACCGCTTCAATCACTGTCATTTGATGAAATAAAGTTTTTCTTCCATAACCTAAATTAATGTTTGCAAAATATTGTTTAAACATTTTCTATTAAATGTTTTTGGGTAAATGTATTCATAATATTATTTTAAAATGTTGTTAAAATATTAGCAACAAAATGTTTTATAAATTCATTTTCTCAATATTAAATGCGTAACGTTTTTAAAATGTTTTTGGGTAAATGTATTCATAATATTATTTTAAAATGTTGTTAAAATATTAGCAACAAAATGTTTTATAAATTAATTTTCTCAATATTAAATGCGTAACGTTTTTAAAATGTTTTCATCAAATATTATGAAGAAATGTTGTTAAAATATCTTAAAGGCATGTTATTGAAACATTTCATGAAACATTTTTAGAAAATGTTTAAAAAACAGCGGAGCAATATTGTTAAGAATGTTTTACTCATATGCTTTTAAAATGTTTTTCAGAGGTAGAACCAATATATCTTCTGAACATTTATAAAACATTCAAACAAAATATCTTAAAAAATGTTATTGAAAACATTTTCATGAATATTCTTACATCATTGTAAAAACATTTTCAAAAAATGTTTTAAATAAATGTTTTCAAAATACAAGAAAAAATATCTACATAACATCACGAAAATATTTGTTCGGCAACGTTTTGAGAAGACATTTATACAACCTTATAAAAATGTTTTGAAAATGTTTTGTGCTACATGGGTTAGTACATATGTCCGTTATGTTGTTTTTCTTGGTCCATTCAAGGTGAATATATGACAGTGTGAGTGTGGCATTTTGTCCTATGAATATATACCCGTGTTCACAAACAGTCTTAAATCAACAAGGATTGTTGCTTGGTTTCGTTCAGATATTTCTTTACACCCCCAGTGCGTCGCAGATTCTCCTCCCGGAATTGTATTGTCCGTATCAAACTACAATGTATCCATAACAAGTAATTGAACTATAAGCAGTTTTAGGCCACAATAAAGTCCCAAGCTTGACACTAGGCCTGATCTTATGCATATCAAAAGATTTTACTTATTTGAAGAATTAACTAATACTATTTCACTAACTTAGGACCAACACGATATTGTCAAATGACGTGATTGTATTGTAACTTCAATTGCATTGTTTTCTGGACAACCAATCATGCACACCGTTCAAGATCAAATGGTATTCAACTGGAAGGAGTCAATTACATTGTCAAATCATTAGACATAAGTAATCTGTTCCGTCGTGTTCGTCATTTATCTTCAGTTGCATGAACTGAAATGAGACGAGGTTTAACAAACAAACAAAAAAAGAAATCTATCCTTGAACTTAAGACGAACTCCCGGAAATTTTACATTCATATTCAGTAGCAAATATATTATCTTCTACATTTCAGAAATGTGTCTAGGTCAATTTTCTCAACACTTCAAATGTCGGAATAGTGATTAAAAAAAATTATGTAAGAGTTAAAAAGGCTGCAAATGAAAGGCAACAATATCTGCCTTATCTGTAATTGACACAAATGTTCTGTATTTAAAGTTTGTATTAAAGTATAGCTGAAAGCCGTGCAAGGAATCAGATCTTGCATGAGAGAGATATATTCCTTTATTTCAAATAATTTCCAACAGCTATCCGTACAACTTCGTATTTAATTTGGCCTACCAACATTATTGGTGAGTTTTAATTAGCGTAAACGCGCGTATGGCATACACAATACTTAGGCTGTTGTTTTTGGTGAGTTTTTTACGTGCTCACAAACAATCGACACTGTGCGTCCGTGTTGACAAAATACAATTTTGATGGAATACTTGCTTAAATTATTGATGTATATGCACTTATCTTTTTTTAGATGTTATCCTTTAATGAAGCCTACAACTTCACCTGTCCATCACAGGCACACTGGATTATTCGGGCAAAAGCCATGTGTAAGCCTCCAAAAAATTATACTTGCTTATTTGATATAACTTTTCGAGTGAATGTATACAGAGAAATATGTAACAGACCTAGAATATTAGATCGTGGTAAGTCTTAGAAGATATCTAAAAGTTTTCCCTGTTAATACAATAGTATGTATTTTTTTAAAAAAATTTAGCTTTATTAGAGCAAACAATGTTAAAAAATAACTTTATTTTCAAATAATGAAAATGTTTAAAAAAGAAAGTTTCTTCAATTAATAAAAGTCGTTTTTATTTATTACTGTATTTCAATGTAACAGAAGTAATTTTGTTGTGAACGTATTTAAGTGCATTTATCTGGATTAAGAAGTGACAAATCCAGCGAAATATAACTTAAACTATATAACCATTAATCAAGAAATTTGAGACGCATGTTTATTGAATATTTCTTTACTTAACATTTGCAGGTCATAAATACGTCTTTCAGCCGAACTTAAACAAAGCAACATGCAGTGCAACTCGATATCAACCTGAAATTTTTAAAACAAATGGATACAGTGACTGCACCTATCAAAAATCACTTTGTAACAGCTTAGGTCAAGAGACGTATGAATACGGCAACATTACGGTCGACATAAAATGTATGTGTAATACCGATAGAGGATATACTTTTGTCATGAACTCGAAAAACCAATGTTACTGCAATCCTTCAACTGACGATTGTTCCTGTTATCTCGGAATAAACCAATACAACAAAACGATTGGACTGAACGGTAAAGTTCAAATTTTCTTTTGCCAGATTTATAGACTATCAATATTTCAAAAAACCATGGAGCTGTCTCTTTATTGATGATGCTTAAAAGATCTTCTATTGTTTTTTTTTTTTATTAAAGCGACATGGTTAAGTTTAGCAGCCCATTGACTTAAACTTCATTAACCTTAAATCTCTATAAAAAAAAAACTCTTTACAACAAACAGGAACTATTTCATCTTTAGATTAAATCTAAAAATTTATTAAATTTGAATGGTTTTTTTTTTAAATTCTTATATCTTTTCTTTGGGTTTACTTTTTGTCGGTAAATGTTTCACAAAAGTTGTTTATATAGATTTTAGCTTGTTTTTTTTAATCATGCCTCATTAAAATTTATACAATGATTTAATAAGAAACGTACTAGTTTCATACAAATATAAAATAATTAACAACTTGAATAAACAAAAAAAAAACAAAAAAACAATACACTGTTAAAGTGCAATGAAATCAATTAAGTGAATTTTAGTATATATGCTGGTAATCGAGAGTGTGCAAACTAATTTGCTACCGACCATTACAACTGACGGAAAAAATGTGTACACCACTCACAGAAGTGCAAATATTTCATAAGAAAAACAAGTTTCTCAATTATATTTCTCAGATATCAAATGTTACGATGACACGAAAAGGACAGGAAGTCGTTACTTAGGAAATAGGTTAGTGTTTGATTATCCCTCGAATCATGTCTTTGTTATATTCATTTATTTCTATACATTAATATACATATATCTATGTATATTAAGTATGTCTAATTAACGCGAAAATGAATATATATTTCAAAGTTTAGATTTCTGTATACCAATACCAAATGAATACAGGTGCATCAGTTATTCTCAAGACGAAAAGTTCCTGAAATTTCAAAAACTACATACTTTAACTTCTGTGTAATTCATAAAAGAAACGTCAATAAAAACTAATTCAGATTTTGTTAGCGGTAAAAGAGGGACGAAAGATACCAGAGGGACAGTCAAACTCATAGATCGAAAACAAACTGACAACACCATGGCCAAAAATAAAAAGACAAATAGACAATAAATAGTACAGATGACACAACATAGAAAACTAAAGACTAAGCAACACGAACCCCACCAAAAACTGGGGGTGATCTCAGGTGCTCCGGAAGGGTAAGCAGATCCTGCTCCACATGTGGCACCCGTCGTTTTGCTTATTTTAGTTCAAATCCGGTAAATAGTCTAATTTGGTAGGTCACATTCGTGAAAAGGGAAGGGTATTGTAGTTACGACATAAGGAACATATCCGATATCATCTGTGAAACGGGTATTCCATAACGGTCAACCAACTCGTGATGGCGTCCTTAAAATTTACGAAGGGATGATTTCAACTTCACCATTTGGAACTCTTGGTTTAATAGCTTCCTTGCGAGCAGCAAATAGGGAGTTATACACATCATTACAGTTGAATTTTATATATTTCTGTCAATATTTTTCTGAGTGCAAATCTCTTCGACAATAACCATGTATATGTTTTTTTTTAAAGGTTTAATATATCACGGAAAATTAAGATCATTGAATTTGACAACTACAACTACAACCTAAACTATTGTAAGTTGAAACCTGTTAGAAGAAGGATCAATCAATAGTTATACAAGTAGTTTGAAGACAATATAGTTTATAAACTATAAAGAAAATAAGACACATATATTTTTAAAATATCCAGAAAGCTTTTGTAGGGTACTTGCTTCATAATTTATGATAAAACAAAGTATAGATCTGTAATACCCTTTTTTATCAGCGAACATAGGTTTGGGCTGTTCTCATTGTTTAAGGCAGTACGGTTGTCTATAATTGCTTACATCCACTTCATTTGAACTTGGGTTGATAGTTGTCTCATTTGCAATCATACAACATATCCTTAGTTTTATATAGTGCAGAGACATCTACATTAAATTAAATATTCAATTGAAAATAGTTTATGATTTCAACTATCAGCATGATCAGTAAATATAATATAAAAGTTAATAAAATTATTCCTTAATGAAAAATCGACAATGGAAATATCGTTAAATAGAAAAAAAAATTGCATCAGCTTTATTTTGTATAATTACAGATAAATATCACATCGAAGCATTTCAATGGGTTTTGACATTGTCATTAGCATCCTGTAAGTACTATAAAATATATGAACATTATAATTGAAGGAGGTTTCGGAAATATAGTTTTCTATTTCTGTCTTAATCGTGGATTTGATAATGCAAATGTACAAAGCTTTAAAGTTTTTTTTTGGAAATAGTTTGTATGGTGCATGTCAAGAATAATTATAAATTAATAATTCATCAATAAAATATTCCAACCAGGGGGTTGATGATCGTGTATTTGAAAGTTGCTCACATTATCCTGTAATAAGCATTCATTATATAAAAAAACCAAAATAAATACATACTTAAAAATATCACAATAATTTCCGATATCTGTGAACACTCATCAATTACGACGTTATGGGTGTTGTAGGAATTTTACACTATTCTTCCGTGAGTGTTACAATGTTATTCACTAAGTATTAAAAAAAGCGTTTTTTTTTTTTGTAGTTTAAATTACATAATAAAAAAAAAGGATATGGGTATCCGTCCATGACATAAAATCAGTAAACGCATAGCAAACAATACAAAAAGTGATGGAACAGCACTTGTATTGCAGTTCTCCATCTCCAAGTCACAACGAGGCTTTTAGACGGAGCAAACACTCTCACATCACTGTCAGTAATTTTGGTTTTGCATATCAAATAAACAACGATTTCTAATGTGATTTATGTCACTTATAATTTGAAATAACTTCAATAAACTCAATCTTTGTGTTTGCCAACATATCTTTTTTAGAGATTGATGTTTAAATATGTAGTGAAAAGCGAGAACATTGTTAACAGATTGAATTAACCTTTAATAACGATCTGCGTGTCCTATTTGTCTGTTATTTTATTAACATGGTTTTTGTAAGAGATTCTTCATAAAGGTTATGTTCAGAGGTCAAAAAATGACGCACGAATTAATCAACAAAGGTAATTAATAAATATACTTCTTTGATTGAAAGTTGTACTGGCCGAACCAGTAGGTATAACCAAGTGACTGAATCGCAATCTCGGCGAATATATAAAGAAAACAACTTGTTTGGAAAATTGTAATTATGATATTCCACCAAAAAGGTTACAATAGTCAGTGTATTGGTAAAACTGCAATAAAACAAAAAGCAATACTTACAATGTGTATGAATTGAACATATTAAAAGTTTAAATGCAAATATTATATAAAACAATCAAATGAAAACGAAAATGGAATTTACAGTTCAAATATCAGATATAAATAACTTACAGTTCGTATGCATTTATCAAATCACTTATACAAATTAACGGATTTAAACAGATTTCATTATCACAGTTTATGAATGAATCAAACGTACTTGACAGTGGTATGTCTCGATTTCCTCAGAATATTAAATATCGTCCATGAAACATGTGTTGAAATACTGGAGCAGACGGTGTCACAGAAATTAAAGGCAGTCGCGTAGTACAATAAATATGGTGACGTAAGCAATCGGTCCAGTGCGATTTGTTCCGGATACTTATGAAAACATATAATAAACATTGAATGTGAAACAGAATAAAGTAATAAGGACACAACTGATTTCATATTGAATTCAAATAAAGATACATTGGTGTAGGTCTATTCTATATACAATTACAAACATTGATGTAGGTCTATTCTATATACAATAACAGATCTATTCTGAACATGAAACTTTATATTTTTTAAGGCGTTGTTTGCGTTGTTTGTATTATTCTACTGACAAATCGGCGACAATTGAGAAGATGTATCGAACCTCCAAATAGTAAGTGCATACACTTTAACTATGTATTCGTTTGTACTTTACTTTTCTAGATTTATTTATAGCTCTCTGTTTAAATAAAGAGTAAGACACACATGTCTACACTATAGTTATCTATATCTGTTTTTAGTTAATTGTTTTAATAAGAAGTAAGCCACACATATTTATACTCTCCTTTTCTATATCTGTTTTGTAAGTTATTTTTTTTAAATAAGAGGTCAGACAGACTTGTTTATGCTTTACTTTTCTATATCTGTTTTAGCCCGTTGTTTAACTAAGATGTAAGACACACATGTGTTTACTTACCTTTCTATATATTTTTTTAGCTCTTTGTTAATACGAAGTAATACTCACATGTTTATGATTTACGTTTCTATGTCTGTTTTAATTTAGTTCTTTGCGTAAGTAAAGTAAGCCACACATGTTAATAATTTTTGATGCACAAAAGACAGATAATTATACTGTACGTAAAATATGAAAACGTACATAGAGGGCATGCGTACTGATTTTGTCAGTTTCTTGAAGAAATGATAGTACATGCCATAAAACAAGAAGTTGATTGTTTCAAGATGCCGTAATTCTATTTTTAATTTCTGGTCAAGGTATTGTAAATAGAACATTTTTTCTATATTTATGGTATAATGATAATTTATTAAATTGGCAAATTAATTCTATTATCGACACAATCGTGCGCATACATTTTTTTCGATTTACGATTCTTTTTAAAGAACACGAACAAAGGAGAAGGTCCGGAAAAGGTAATTTTGAAGTGGAAGTGGAAGTGGTCGCGTTTGTGCCAAATCATTAATCTTTGATGTTTTCTTTTTTTAAAACCGTTTGGATGTCGCTGCTGGTTGACTTTTAGTTCCCCACAAAATCACCAGCCTAGTAGTAAGCACTTTTGTGTTGACAATACATTCTTCTTTAAATTAACAGTATTTGTGTTTTATTTGACTTCCCAACTGTTTGGATTTGAGCGCCACTGATTGATTGATTGATTGTTGGTGTTTAAACGCCGCTTTTGGGGTATTTCGTGGCGGTCAGTTTTTATTGGTGGAGGAAGCCGGAGTGCCCGGAGAATACCACCGACCTTCGATAAGAAAACTGACAATCCTAGTGAATTAAGATTGGAGTCGAGTGCACCCGCACGAGCGGGGTTCGAACTCACAACCTCAGTGTTGACTGGCTAGTGATTACAGAAGTAGAACTTCTTAGACCACTTGGAAACCGAGGCCTCTGGAGCGCCACTGATGACGTTTAGTTGACAATTTGACTGAAACCATATTGACGATATATTTTTGTCATCTTGTTCTTTAGATAAACAAAATTTCCGCCTTTCTTGGAAGGAAATCTGTACCTTTGATAGCTTCGACTGTTGTTAGCGCATTTTGTGTCTCAAACTTTCAAAATGGTGTATTTGATGACGTTATAGCACGTTATACTGTAACTTATTCAATTTAATCAACAAACCAAAAAGATTTGGAAGTAAATACGGCTTTTCCGTCTCATTTTTCTAAAGTTTTGATGTTTTGTCAAATAGTTTATCTGTAGTCTTTGCTGTTGCCATGTTGGGGCACATTGTTGTTAGTTTTCAATGCGAAACCAACAAATAACAGCATAACCTATTTAGTAAACGTGATTCTAATCTTTTATTGGGTTATTGAAAGTTTAAAAAAAAAAAAAACTATTGAGGTTGGAGCATATATAGTTTACCCTATAGTAAATTAGATTTTTAGATTTTTAGTTTTAAAGTGAAAAGTATAATAGTTTCATATTAATAAAAAAAACGCATGTTTATAATACAACATACAAATCTCCATTCAAATAAGCTAACGAAAATAATTATTATAAATAGATTAAGTATATTTTCAAGAGTTAGCTCTATAATCAATTAATAGATTACTTCATATACGATAGAATGAGAAAAATAACTAATAAGATACGTCTATTTTCTGTTCAACGTGTTTGTTCGTGTATATTTTGCGATTGCTAATGAACACCTTTTTGTTTTACTAAGACTATATCATTTTCTAAATTTATTCTCAAACATCACGTCACAGATATATACTTTTTCAGTTTTTCCAGAAGCCATAAACCATTTATCAGAGGAAGATAAAATCAGATACAATGAGCTTATGCAAACTGAAAAAAAAGAAAACAGGTATTTTGTTAGAATTATGATTGTCGGAAAGGAATCGACAGGAAAAACGTGTCTCTTGAGGAGATTATTGAAGGAAGACATATCTGGTGTATCGAGTACAGATGGTGTTGATATTGTTGTTCGTAGATGCAAAATCAACATAAGAGATGGAAAATGGATAATCGGCAAAGGTAAATAAAGGCAACAGTAGTATACCGCTGTTCGAAACTCATAAATTGATAGAGACAAAAACAAATCCGGTTTACAAACTAAAACTAAGGGAAACGCATCAAATATAAGAGGAGAACAACGACACAACTAAAACACAACATTAAAAATGTAACACACACAAAAATGAACTATAATATAACAATGGCCATTTTCCTGACTTGGTACAGGACATTTTAAGAACAAAATGGTGGGTCGAACCTGGTTTTGTGGCATGCCAAACCTCCCGCTTTAATGGCAACGTCAAACACAACACCAAAACGACAACATCACATGACAGGACCACAATACAAATAAATAGGAGAACATATAGGACAAAGAAACACACAAATAATAGCAAACAAAAGGTACTAGGCTTAAAATTCAATACGCCAGACGTGCGTCTCGTCCACACAAGACCATCCAGTGACGCTCAGATGAAAAAAGCTTGAAAGCCAAAACAAGTACAAAGCCGAAGAGCACCGAGGACCAAAACATCCAAAAAGTTGCGCCTAACACGGCCAGGGTTTTCTGCCTGGGACAAGAACATCCTTAGTATTTAGAATAATTTCGTTGAACCAAACTAAAAGCTAATAAATGAAGGGGGTGATTAATTATCTTTACCATAACACACGAATATAACAGAAAAGACGTTAAGACATTTGACAAATTCCGACAAGAATAACAAATATAACATAATAATTAAATACATGAATTTGGGATAGAAAGGTACTGTGACACGTCTTATAGCAATGCGGTTTCACACTCAGCAAAACAGTCACAATCGGGAATAAGTCACGTTCGGTAATTAAAAGATCAGACGACGTAATGACAAACCACAATCTAACACGTGATTAAAATGTCCTTAGTTAGTTTGAACAAAGACACATCGTATGGACTAACAAATTCGTGATGGTGTCCGTAAAATTAACGGAGTGTCATTTTTAATCTGTCCTCCTCATAACTTTGTTGGAGCACACTCCTGTATATGAAGTCCGTATAGTGATTATCAAAGTCCGTATAATGATTATCTATTTACAGGAAAAAATCCACAATTGAATACACCTGTTTTATATATACTTAAAACACAAAATAATACGGACTTCATATACAGGAGTATGAAATGCATACTCACTGGTGATTCATAATGATTATCAGTTTACAGAAAAAAATCCACAATTGAATACACCTGTTTTATATATACTTAAAACACAAAATAAAAGGCTATTTCAAGTGAAGATTGTTTTAAATATAGCCTTTAATGGTTAATCGCAAATATTTAGAGACAACTTATCAAACTTCAAAATTAATTGGTACATATAAACATTGCGATATATCACAAAGAATATTCGTGGTTATTTACGTCTGTTTTGAATAAAATTAGTGAACTGTCAATTGCTAATAGAGAAGAGGCAAAAACATTTACGTCAGCAACGCCATTACCTCCCCTGTAACTGTATCGCATGCCCTTAAAAAGTATTATCTTAAATTACAAATGACAAAGATCTCGGAATCCTGGATGTAGAACCACGCCTTTTAATATATTCTATACATTTACGCTCACTCATGTCTACACTATACAAACTTCCTTTGTAGGTGTGTGTGCTCCTCACACAAAAATGCTTCGACATAAATCAACACCACAAAAGTTCTAAGTTCACCATTACAAATTGTGTCTGTGTTTTAACTTACCAGCGTCGTAGTCACAAGATACTGAAAAAAAAAAAACAAAACGTTGAATATATTTTATATTCTTGACTGACAAGTTTTATTTTTTTAACCGATCAAATCTTCCGAAATCCACACTGCTATTGTATTATTGCCCTTCCGTATTCTTATTTGCAAATAGCTGTTGCGAATGCAGAGACCTTAACCACAAGACATCTCGTTAGTACTTCTGCAACCGAATAGATCAAATGCGAAGAAACAAATCGTGATTGAAGAAAAGGGAAACACACTTAAAGTTGCATAGTGTTGATTGATAATCAAATAGAAACTCATGGAAAAATAAAATAAAATGTAATCGCTTTAGGGCATGTCGTTCGTTTCACTTATTGTTCACGTTCTCCATGATTCTGTGTTCATTAAGGCCACGTTCGTTAAACTTCTTCAATTAAACCAGAAAGTATTCACTACATGAAATATTTTTGTCAGTCATATGTTATGGATTCGTAATAAATGTAAAAATTGGTTCAAATTTCAAGAGATTCGTTTCATGTGACTTTTAAAATCTATAAATATTATTTTACCATCTCATATTCGCAGCGGAAAATAACTAATGGAACTGTATTACAGGCTCCCGACTTGGGACAGGCACATACATATAGTGGCGGGGTTAAACATGTTAGCGGGCGCCCATCACTCCCCTAACCTGGACAGTGGTGTAACAGTACAACATAAGATCAAACTATAAAAATTAGTTGTAAAAGGCTTAACTCAACAGATGGATACAAATAGAAATACCTCTAAAAAACACATATTGGACGTGGCCGGGTACTTGTGCATCCCAACAACAAAAAAACACTAAGTACAGATCTAAGAGTACTCCCAGTAGTTGCTGACAGCTAATTCAGAGCCAATAACAACTAATAAAAAATCATGCATCTAAGACTAAATATTTATTAAAAGGTTATCTTGCAAAAAACGGTGTACAGATCAGCTCATTTCAAATCGGTAAAAAGCAACAAAAGACAAACTTTGAAAGAAGTGGTTTATTGATACGAGTAGTTTACAATTGACAATGAAGTCTGCTTTAGAGTTCTTGCAATCTATCTTTGACTAAAACCATTAAACCTACTTCAAATAAAATTAACTGATATCATTTTAATACTTTTTAAATTACATATACCAAATGGATAAAGAATTTCAAATTTCCGGGTTCAGAACTCAGTGACAACTAGGTTTATTAGATCAGTACCGTCCTGACTTTTTAGTTTGTCAGAATGGGGACGTTAAATCCGATGTCTCATGAAAAGAGATCGCCACACTATTTGCAAGTAAAGAACCCTTGCAAAAACTCTTTTAAAAGTCCGTAGGTAGCCCGTTGTAATTGAACATTCTATCCTAATTTAATTAACCCTAATTTTTCCTGTGGCAGTCCAAACAGTCCTGACCTTCATCCCGGACTTCCACTTCTACAGAACCTACCTATTGTATTTATTGCTACTTTTGGTCATGTTAATAGTTATCAAAGGTACCAGGCTTTTAATTTGATACGCCGTATGCGCGTTTCGTCTACATAAGACTCATCAGTGACGCTCAGATCAAAATAGTTAGAAAGCCAAACAAGTATAAAGTTGAAGAGCATTGAGGACCCAAAATTCCAAAAAGTTGTGCCAAATACGGCTAAGGTAATCTATGCCTGGGATAAGAAAATCCTTAATATTTCGAATAATTCAAACTTTTGCAAACAGTTAATTAAAAAAAAATGACCATATAACTGATATTCATGTCAAAACCGAAGTGCTGACTACTGGGCTGGTGATACCCTCGAGGACGAAACGTCCACCAGCAGCGGCATCGACCCAGTGGTGAAAATAGTTATCAAAGGTACCAGGCTTTTAATTTGATACGCCAGACGCGCGTTTCGTCTAGTGGCAGGTTTACATTATATTTTAAAAGGGCACGGACTCATCTTGAACTATCTAAATCACAGTTTCCTCGCCAAATTTGTTTGTCAGATTTTTTCAATGAATCTTCTTCAATGATTTTAAGCTTTATGATTTTACACTGCAATTACGTGTCAAAACTCCTACAATTTCCCTACGTTATGGATCCCTGAAAATTATCCAAACAGATCCCGATGGCATTTTTAAAGGGGTGTTAGACTAACCCTGTACTGCACTTTTTTCACATTTGTTAATTACCATTATCTTTCAAACACTTTATACATGTTATATTTATCCCAATACTATGGCCTCATGATGTCCAATCATAAAAATATAGACATATAAAATGTAAAGCATTTCAACTGTTCGTTAATCGAGTTTTTTGTTGCTTGCTTGGCGTCAAGTTGCAATTATTTAATGCATATTTGAGAAAAGAACTATTACCAATTAATACAATATGAATATTAGGCATGGTGAGACTCCTGGCATGAAGGGCGAGGGAATGGACTGCCACTGGAAAACAATGCTATGATGGATAGTAACAGCAATGTATTGCCACTGAGCTGGAGCAAGTGTTATATAGTGAATCGTGTACCCTCTCAGCACGATACATCAGATTAACTAATGGACTGATAGTCCCGGAGGGTATCACCAGCCCAGTTTACGACTTTTTTGTAATTAAAATTTGCTGTTACAAAATTTTGGAAATTATTTAAAATTAAGGAATTTATCTCCTTCATGCAAAGCTCTGAATCCTAGTCCGGCTTTGGCTATACTTTTTTGGTGTTTTTTATTTTGGTTCATAGCTCTTTATCTTTTTTAATAAGCTGTTTATTTTCAAATATTTTGGCCTCGAGAATCACTGAAGAGACATTAATTGTCGAAATGCGCATCTTGTGCAGAAAAATTGGTACCGTTTAAGTTATTAAATGTCCCCTTCTTGTCACACATGGCTACGAACTTATACAACCTGTACAGCAGAACGAACGCCTTTCTAAGAGAAGTTTTAAGTGATAAGCTGGACATATTTCTATACCCGAGTTTGCGTTATGGAAGCATTAATTTTATAACGAGTTGTTTTCATTTTTAATAGCACTGGGTCGATACCTCTGCTGGTTGACTATTAACCCGAGAGGTATCATCAGCTCAGTAGTCAGTACTTCGGTACTGACATGATTTATAACATTTCTAAAATTGTCCGTTTATAAATTTTGAAATTATAAAGAAACTGAGGTTTCAACTCCCTCAGGTAAAGTGACATATGACTTGACTATTTTAAGTACTTCTGGTGATTAGGGACTTTCCGTTTTGAATTTCCTCGGAATTCGGTATTTTTGTAATTTTACTTTTTTCATATAGCTCTTTAACTGTTTCGGTTGTTATACATCTTTGGCTTTCAAATATATCGCGTTGAGCGTTCCTGAAGGTAAATCCAGAAAAGCGCTTCGGACGAACTATAATTTATAAAAAGTGTTGTTTTCATTTTTTTCACTTGGGATATTTCAACCATTTAAGTAGGGAAACGTCAAAGCAGAACATTTTCATTTCAAGTAATGTTTCTATTCGCCTAAACTGTAATAAAAACTGCATTGAACTATTCTAATGAACCAATAAAATAAAGATTAAACACAGTATGGATGGTATGGGAAACTACCACTACTGCCAATAGATAGCCGTGTAACTTGTTGTAAAAGATAGTATTGTTTTTTTTTCTAATTTTTGTTTCCTGCCAGAAATTGACGATGATAAAGTGAGCCGGATTAAGAGAGCACTGATTCCAAATGCCGAGGACAGAAACACTGACAATATTGAGGTAGATGAGAGAAAGAATATAAGTCATGGTGATGATATATCTACCTATAAAAAAGACACCACAACCGACATAATGGTTATTCGGGATAAAAGTGAAGATACAAATGAGTCTGAATTATTGGTAATGCTTGAGGATTTCAAAGCAAAATCAAAAGTTAATCTGGATAAAAAAGGAGATACGAACCAGTCTTCATCTTTGGTAATGCCTGAGGATATCACTAGCGACGCAAAGATTAATCTGGATAACAATAAAGAAACGAATAAGTCTTCATCATTGGTAATGCCTGAGGATTTGATGTCAAATATGTTTTCCAAGTCAACTGTTAATTCTCCTTCAAACCTTTATGCATTATGTGAATTATGGGACTTTGCAGGACAAAAAGAATTTTATGCTACACATCAAGCATTTTTAACAAGTAGTGCAGTATACCTTGTAGTTGCAGATATGAAGGACGACATAAGTAAACAAGGATTGGGTCAGTATTTTGCCGATTTTCAGCATATTGGAGGTATGTTTTCATGTAAGAAATTCAAATGCAACTAGATTTGTAATTGAGAGCAATAACGGATGGCACCCTCGTCCCCCTATTGCCAGGGTAACGGCAGCAATTTTGAAAATTCCAAAGTCAAACAGCGCATCTACACATGCCAATTAAAATTGTTGTAAAGTTTCATGAAGTTTGGAGCATTTTGAAATTTTTTATAGTTTTGCTGTTTCAATGGTCACGGTGACCATTTTAAAATTTCCAAAGACAGATACCACATTGGCACATGACAGGTTACATAACCATATAGTTTTGTTTGTATTATTCTTTGAAGAAACTGCTGCTTTAATGTATATTCCCTTAGGGTCAATGTTAATCTTTCGCCCTGTTTCCATGATTATGGCAGCAATTTTTGAATTTCTAAATATTGTCTGTCCATCTAGGCATACCAAGTAACATTTTCATAAAGTTTCATCCAGTTGGGTCTTATAATAAAACAAAAACATGTTTTATTAAAGTGTTTCAATATCTGAAATACAAGTTACCTTAATTATGTCCTAATGTTGTGATCATGTCAACAAGTAATAGAAAGTAAAATAAAAAAAAAAATAAATAAAGCGGGAAGTTCCTTCTCAAATGTCAAAATCAAAAGCTTAGTGTTAAGACAGTCAGTGTTAGGGTACATATATTCAAAGTATCCTATATGGTCTCAAAACATTATTTATTAAACACTGTTGATATATTTCAGAATATGTTGATTTTTGGTTTGATTCTATCCATTGTCATCGAACAACCGACAAACCAGCTAGGTATGGCCACTTCGATCCTCCGATTTTATTAGTTTTCACTGGAAAGGATAAATATGACAAGGTAATACAATTGTAGAACGCTGTTCCTCACTTCCATACCAGTCGTGTACATGGTTTCACTTAGTATCATCCGTTCTTGATCGGAATGTCATCAAAGAAATATTTGCTAATGAGACGTCCATCCATAGAAGATCAAAAATTATTGTTAGCAAAACCTACTAGAAATGGTTACCTATACATTAGTTATAACACACCAATAACTGAAACGATAATTATAAACAACAACTGGACTCCTTCCTTTTAACAGGCACATTAAGCATGTTTGATCTAAAACGTGCTTATGGGCGCTCAATTTAACACAAACCTTGGACAATAGCTTAACACAACAAATTATGAACAAACAAAAATCCGTTGAAATAATCGTTGCCAGATTAACGACAAGTGACATTTATTTCATGCATATTCACAAACAAAACAATAAATAAAGTACAAATATATATGTTCTGCTATATGAGACAAAAGGGATTTAGCTTGGGGACTTAAGGACTGAAAAACATTGGTTTGTTGGACAGGAACATGCATTTTGCCTCGCTACAGGCTACATAAGGACCCATTAAAGAGTTTAATAAAAAGTAAAATCTATATGAGTTTTTTTGTCTTAGGCATAACAAAGTTAATACTTTTTTTACTAAAAAAACAAACCTATCTTGAGGAATGCGTAACGCATCTCAATTTTGTTCTTTTAAGGGTTAACAGTTTTCCCTGTTGGAAATTTACAACGTTAATTTCAGGTGATGTGTATATGTTTAACATGTTAGGAATGATGAATTGGTATTCATGGTCCAGTGGAAATTATGGCATGTATATCAAGACAAGGATAAAGGTTCAACAATGTGCCATTTTTTTTCTTACATGTTATTGGTTTCAATTGAAATTAAATTTAAGATTCCAATACCCTAAAAGGACGTCTAATGGAGAGAAGATGACATGACTTGAATGAGATTGCCAAAAAAAAAATGATTTAGAACTATGCATATTCTTTGTTTATAAGGGATTAATTCGTTGTTGTTTATTTGACGCCCAGTTTCAAATATTTCATGCAGGTTCAGAACTAGAACAAATAACAATAAAACAGGTAAGTCATCAAATACGGTGTCAACCGATTTGATGGTTTTAAAAATTTCAAAGCCACTGCGAAGTGGGGTTATGAAGATTGAAACAGAAATTTAGCCTGGTAACAGGCTATTGTATGGGCCCTAAAAAGAGTTGATGCAAGTGTTCGTAATGTGCAGAGACCTCTGTGCTCTCTACATGACTCATCGAACTGCACGACCCCGTTCTGACTGGACGCCGTTTGATACAACCTGCAAAGCCAAACGAACGTCCCACTTTGGCAAATGGTTTACTGCCAGCCGGTAGAAGACAACGGTATTACTATAAATTTATGCCCCAGTCAAATATTGTGGGTTTTATAAGAAAATATGGTATGATTTTAAAAGGGAAAACTATCCATTTGTACAAAGCAACACAATATGAATAAAAGGGGTTTTGATACGGCCTTTAACAACGATAAATACCCATGCAGTATAGTAAGATATAGAAGGCCCATAAATTGTCTTTATAATTGCCATGAAAGGTAGTGATACGTTGTAATGAAAATTATATATATTTGGGTTCATAATCTATTTAAATCTTCTCAATAATTGTTGATATAGTATCAATCATGACAATTGCTGATTCTTTTATCTATTTTCGTTAGGCAGATTTTAAGAAGAGAGAAAAGGAACTCAATGATCAAATAGACCAAGTTCTTGGATTTCAAAGCAAATATCATCACTTGCACAACAAGTTTTATCTGTCAAATACAAATGACAGTGACACAGAATTTGAGAAGTTGCAATACGCAATTTACGATACTGCACGGAAAATGGGAAATTGGGGTAATGCTTTTCCGTTAAAATGGATTCTTTTAGAACATTTGATTGAAATTAATAAGAACGATAACAAGCATTTCATCAACTTTACTGATATGTCAAATCTGGCTAAACATCCTGATATCAATATTCTAGAAAAGGAGGATTTGTTGTTGTTTCTTCGATTTCAGCATAACGTAGGGAACATCATTTTCTTTGCTAATATACCGGATTTAATCATATTAAGACCCCAATGGTTAGCAGATGCTTTCCGATGTTTAGTTTCAGATAGAGTTGAAAACAGAAGATTGCATCACCATGAGGACTGGACACTGTTTATACGACAAGGCAAAATAAGCGAATCGTTAATAACAGAACTGTTCAAAGCAAAAGATGGAAGTCAGCTTTCAGAACAGACAAATAATTTGCATGCAGTTATGGAAAAGCTTGATATATTGGTCAAAATTGGTAACTCAAATTATATAATGCCAAGCATGATGCCGCCCTCCACGTTTGATGTTGTATGTGAAAAATTTGACATTCTTACACAAAAATGTAAAAGGACTTCTTGGCTTTGTTTTAAATTTGAATTTCTCCCACCTTCTTTCTTTAACCATCTATCTGCCTGGTTTATCAGAAACTACTACTCTAGCAAAGTAGAGGGTGGTATTGCTTTATATCGTGGCATCTGTATGTTTGACATTGATGGATCTGGTGGTACAAAGATACTAGTTACTATGTCGACTGATACAATTGCTCTTCAGCTCGTGTCGTTTTCCGAAGAGGAGGGATTCGGAAGCACGTGCAGTGATATCTACAGAGAAGTGAAACAACTAATTGAAGATATAAAAGAGAGATATAAGGTGAAAATATCTTTTAAACTCCATTTCAAATGCAGTGATGGCTATTATTTTCAAGACACATTTGAATATGAGAAATTGACAAGTGAGAAGGAGTGTTTCTGTACTCAACATAAGCAAATGCATCGATCTGACCAGATATATTCGCCTTGGATGAATAATGAGGTATGTTTTTAAAATAACATCTTTAAAAATTGCTTAGATTATCATTTGGATTCCCCAACAGTCTATACTTAGTCTGATATTGTCTGGACACGTTCTTAACAGTCTTAACTCAGTCTGATATTGTCTGGACACATTCTAAACAGTCTTAACTCTGTCTGATATTGTCTAGACACATAAACAGTCTTAACTCTGTCTGGATACGTTTATTATCAACTGTCTGAATGTTTGCTGTAGTACACCCCCTCTCTCTTTCTCTCCCGGGAACTTTTAAGAGTTAATTTCAAGATGGCAAGCCAAATTAGCAAAACCTAATTAGCATTGTCTGTATCAAATGGTAATTGTAATGCTAATTTTATTGAAAATGGTGATGATAATAATAATGGTAACAATAATGTTAATGATAATTGTTATGATAATAGGGAGGATGGTGATGTGGCAACATATTATCCATTTTTATATTTGTGGCATGTGCATATGAAACATGCATTTTCATATTTCGTAACGTGTATTTTTGTATATAGATTAGACAGTTGGTTTTCCTGTTTGAATTGATCTATACTTGTCATTTTGGGGCCCGTTATAGCGTCCTGTTTGGTGTAAGCCAAGGCTCTGTGTTGAAGGCCGTACTTTGACCTATAATGGTTTATTTTTCTCATTGGCACTCATCCCACATCTTCTTATATCTATATATCAAATATACATTGTCATATTTTGTGACATGTGCACATCAGAGTATATCAGATGTTTTGAAAATAAAAACTTTTTTTTTCAAATGGAAGATGAAAAAATCTTGTTTCCGATGAAAAATTAAATACAGCGTCAACTTAACTTCACAAAAAATACATGATGGTCTTGAAGTATAGATTCTAGGTACTGGCGTTGTTAATCTTCTTGATTACGTGCTATAGTGTCTTTGTAAATTTTTAATCTTTACTGTTTAGAATTTTTTTTTTCAGAATGTTAACACAAAATTCATAAAAATTCAGATACAAATTATTCATTTTGGATCTGATGACTTTGCAGTGAATGCATAATCACTTCTCCTCGACACACAAATGGGAAAATCTTTTAAAAAGACGGTAACAATGGTAGCATAATGAACTGTATGTTAACTGACTTTAAATTTATTTCTGTTACCATGTATGTGTAATACTTGTTGCTGGACGTTAAATAGAAACTTATCATTCTGCGAACAAAACATTACAATCTACATATTTTTATCCATCATGTAAATGGGTTTTGCACGTAATTTGATACACATACCGTTTATTTACGAAAAGTTGCACGGCATCCTTAATTTACGCAAATGTTTTGTAAACCTTTTCAAGTGTAAAGCTTTCCATATGCTTAATTAAAAGTATGATTATAACAAACTCACATGTCAATGACATACTTACAAAGATATGGCAAAAAAAAAAAACCAAGAGATAAACAGTATACAAAACTCAACATAGAAAACTAAAAACGGAGCAACACAAACCCCACCAAAATCCAGGGGTGATTGCAGATGCTCCGGAAGTAATAAATATTTACTTGTGTATGTCGTTTCTGTGCTCATCGTCAATTTTCACATTTGATATAGTTTCCATACTACTATGCAGATTTTAGAGATCGCTAATTGCGTTAAATGCAAAAATTTTATTCAAACATTATTTAGGACACATTTAGAATCATTAAAAAGTTGATAATTCACTTTAAGTAAGAAAATCTTACAAATATAACGTGTATTCCTAAGGTGAACTAAAGGCTGAATGGTTGCCGAGACAACGTTAACAATCTGTCGGAACATCCTGTACATTTTTATTACATTTGTTGTAAGGGGCAACAACATCTTATCATATTTTCTCATGTTATTATTGATGACAATGCCTTTTAAGCATTTATGGTCTATTGATTGGAGGGTCCAATAATTAGAAGTGTATATATGCACGTTATTGGTCTGCTGATATTAGTCCAATTATTAAAATTACGATTATTTCAAGCGGTTGTCCAAAACGGATTTTAATTACATGTTATCCTTCCAGAGCGAGAACAACTTCAAGTTTTTATGTTTGGTCTGTGTTACTCCGTCCATAGTTTTTTATGTTGTGTTTTTTGTACTCTTGTTTGTCTTTTTGTCGTTTTTTGCCATGGCATTGTCAGTTTCTTTTCGATTTTACATGAGTTGAATATCACTTTGGTACTGTTCGACTCTCGTTGACAACAGTTAAGTTTGTATTGTATTGCGTGGTTATGAAAATATAAATAAGCTTAAACTATAGTAATCGAGTAAAGCAATGATGGAAATGAGTCTTCTACAGACTTGTTATTGGCGCGACTTCTTCTTGGGCACTCTAAATGTACCTTTTTATGTGCAAAAGCTCAACGATGACGTATGAGGAACGTTCACATTAAACATACCAATTTTACAGCACCAGATGCGCATTTCGACAATTAGCGTCTCCTCAGTAATGCTGAACATAATACAAACGTTGAAGAGCTGATAATCTTAAAAGGACCAAAAAGTAAAGCCAAATCCGGACAATGAAATAGAACTATGCTTAAGGGAGATACATTCTTTGTACAAGGAACCAAAACTAGAACTATGCATAAGGGAGATACATTCCTGGTACAAGGAACCAAAACTAGAACTATGCATAAGGGAGATACATTCCTTGTACAAGGATTCAGAACTATGCATAAGGGAGATACATTCTTTGTACAAGGAACCAAAACTATGCATGAGGGAGATACATTCTTTGTAAAAGGAACCAGAACTATGCATAAGGGAGATACATTCCTTGTACAAGGAACCAAAACTAGAAATATGCATAAGGGAGATACATTTCTTGTACAAGGAACCAAAACTAGAACTATGTATGAGGGAGATACATTCCTTGTACAAGGAACCAAAACTAGAACTATGTATGAGGGAGATACATTCCTTGTACAAGGAAACAAAACTAGAACTATGCATAAGGGAGACACATTCCTTGTACAAGGAACCAAAACTATGCACGATACCGAATTTTTTTAACAGCCATTGTAATATAACAATATCCATCACTTCTTGCAAGCATCGAAGTATTGGTTACTTGGCTAATTATACCCTCGTATACTTAGAAACCATTAGGAGATATATCGATCGTGGCTAAAAAGTCGCACAGTTATATGTATCGAGCTGGTGGTAGTAATAAATCGAGTGCAATCCGTGAAGACCGATCAGTCAGTCTGAAGTACAGGCAAGTGGATTCAAGATATCCTTGGGGACTAAAAGTCCATTAGATGTATCAAGCCAGTAGTAGTAATCAAATTAACATTAACGGTACCAATTTAACTCTACCAGATCTGCATTTCGACAATCAATGATGATCGAGACCAATATATACTTGAGATTCATAAACCGAATACAAACGTGTAACAGCTGATAAAACCAAAAAGGCCGAAACGTACATCTAAACATTAACGGTATTAATTTTACTGCACCAGGAGCGCATTTCGACATACACGTTTGTTCACCGATGCTCGAGGCCAAACAATTTGAAACTACAAAATCCTATCAAAACGACGAAGTGGGGACTAAACCAAAATGACCAAAATGAAGCCAAACCTGGGCAAGGAATCATAGCTATACACGAAGGAGATACATTCCTTGCTTTAAGATGATTTCGAAATTTTATAACAACAATTTAAATCAAAATAATATTCGTGGTTTTCATGCAAATACCAAGGTACTGGCTACTGGGCTAATGCTAACCTCGTGGTCAAAAAGTCCCCCAGCTGTTGTAATAATCTGAGTTTAACCCCTAACACCGATCAATCAATATTCTCCTTATAAGTTAAATGGATTGGTGATGTGAACTTGATTGATTGATTGATCGGTGACGGATTGACGACTACTGACTAACACTGAAACGGTAACGCATAAGGTTGCAATTGCAAGTACTATATCTGAAACTAGTTTATATGTAATTCTTTAAAAAATATCTTACAGGTTAAATTTCGCATAACCTTCTAATAGGTTACGTATTTTTTTTTTTCAAATTATTATTTCTTTTTTTCAGGTTATTTTTAATTTTTTTTTTTTTTCAGGTTACACGGATTCCTGACAGAGCGAACATAAGTACCAAGCAGGATGACCATAATCCAAGTAATATCATTGTTTACATATTTTCCTTTCGTATATTTATCTCTTAACCGGTTTCATTTTTTCTAGATCATATATTAATGGCGATATAACTCTTCAGTCCTGTCCTTAGAATATTCCTCTTTATGCAAAGGGAACAACAAAGAAGGAGACGTTTCTTAATTCAGAAGAATAAAACATAGTTTTTTAAAAGTTTTTCAAATTAATGTTGTATTCATAAATATAGCTTTCCCCCAGCTATAGGTCCGAAGCGCTTTTCTGGATTTAACTTCATCAGGAACGCTCATAGTCGAATATTTCAAAGCCAAGGATGTATAAGGACCGAACACGTTGAAGAGCTTTTCACCAAAAAGGACCTAAAAATAGCCAAATCCATCTAAGGCCAACTTTGCCTGAGGGGGTTGAATCCTTAGTTTCTGTATAATTTTAAGATTTATAAACTGTCAATTCTAGATAATTTGATATAAATCATGTCAGTACCGAAGTACTGATTACTGAGCTCATGATTCCCTCGGGAACTACACTTAAACATATTTGACCTGATATGCTCATTTCACACTGTTTTCGTCAATATATATTTATACATATGAATAACAGCTTTACTAAGAAAGATGTTATACAAACATTACATCTTTGTAAAATACAATTAGTTGCAACATGTCGTTCTACTGTTTCTCATATCAATTTATTAACGACAAGATCAAGAGTAGGGTATTTATTGTAGTTTCTTTTACATGTAAAAAGTTTTAGACTCGTAATGCAAATATAAACGACACCTTTTCAAAAAGCAAATACTGATGTCCATTTGAACATCTGATGATTGTTATAAGTAGGAATTAAAGGTGGTAAAGTGGCCTTATCATACAATTTCTTCCCCAAGGTGACAGGGGAATAGAAATATGGCCACTACAGGTCTTCTCCCGACCGGCAGGAAAACCCTTGGCACACTGGGGCGTCCGTTTGGCTGAGTGGGATGTACAAGTACGCAGCCACGTCACGTTAAATCCAATTTCTCGTGTAAAGAGAGTGCCACGCTTTTTCCACATTAAGAGAACCCTAATAACAATTCTTTGATGAGTCTATAGGTGGCCTCTTACAAGGAAAAATGCCCTATCCAACTAACCCTCAATTTGCAGTGGCAGTCTAAATTTTCACAACCTTCATCCCGGATGTCCTCTATTACAGCACCTGTATATTGTATTTACTGTTATTTTGTCCTCGTCCTGAACAAGCATGAAATATTTGATACTGGACGTTAGCAACCAACAATCGATCAATCGTAACATTCTCCTTGAAGCGGTTGAAATAATACAGATGTGAATTTAGGGATATATATGTATAAACGTTTCGAATTTCATGATTTATGATGAATTAAGAAATTACTAACAAAATAAAGCTTCCCACTACCTGAAGCAAAGATGAAATTACTGATGTAGTTGTAGATGAATTTGGTCTTTTTATGGTCTTTTGGTGATAAATCCCCTAACGTTTCAACATATCTTTACATCCCAGGATATCAATAACATTTAAATAAAATGTTGAAGGGTTGATAAAACGAAGAGGAATCAAAATTAACGCCAAAACTAAACTCAATGTTACAGTTTGAGATTTCCTGATTAATAAAAATCAAGAAAAACACTTCCGAGACAAGACATTGGTAAAGTGTTATTTTCATTTACCTGCACTGGATTGATACCAGTGCTGCAGGGTGATCTGTTTAATCCCCGAGCTCAGTCGGCAATGTTTCAATTCCACCTTGATCAATTATGATTTTTTTTAAGAAGAAAAGGTTCCAATTCACTCGGGCAAAGCCTAATTCGATTGATTGTTTATTAGCTGTTTAACGTTCAGTGGCAAATATTTCATGTATGTTCAGGACGAGATCAATTTATCAATGAAAACAATAGCAAGGTCCTGTAATAAAAGACGTCCGGGATGAAGGTCGGGGAGAAATTTAGACTGCCATTGTGCAATGAGGGTTTATTACACAGGGACAAAATTTTGCCTTGCAACAGGACCCCTTAAAGAGTTATTGCAAGGGTTTTACACGTGAAGAGAGCGTGGCACTCTCTACACGAGGCATCGGATTAAACGTTCCTATTCTGACCGGATGTGGCTGTGTACTTGTACATCCTGTACAGCTAAACTGACGCTTTACTTAAACTGATCTTTCATACATGTTTCTTTGATGTCGTATGGGTTTTACCCCCTGTTGAAGGCAGAACGGTGACAGGTAGCTGTTTATTTCTATGTCATTTGGTTTCTGACGAAATTTTTATTATTTTTCTCTAAATTCAGAATAGAGATAAACACGTGTACCAATAGAAAATTGAAGTTAATTTAATAGTTAACGAAGTTTTTCGCAAAATGACGATTAACTTACATAACCCTTGGAATGTTTTGGTGGGTCAAATATATGATTCATTGGTTGCTGATTACCGGAATCAAAAAGTAAAAAAAATCAAAACGGCATGTATGGTAGGGAAAGGTATTATAATATTGATTGATTGCTCGAGTTTTAATTGCTTAACGTTCAGGGGAAAATATTTCATGCATATTCAGTAAGATACACTATCAACAATTAATGCAATATGTAGGTTCTGTCAGTAAGGCCTCCCGAGTCGAAGAAATTTGGACTGTCAATGGAAATGAGGGTATGCTGGATAGAGGGTCGACATTTAACCTTGCAACATGCCAACTCTTGATCCTCCAATGAGGTGTTCCAATGGTTCTTTAACGAGCAGAGAACATGACATTGGACGGGATTGCGTAGTTAAACATCCCACACAACCAAACAGACGCCCCACTTTGATAAAGATGTTACTGCCGATCGGGATACCAGGGACAATATTTATATGACCCATTCATCCCTGTTGTTTAGGTATATCAGTGATATTACATTTAAGTCTTCGACTGGTATGAAAATAGAGAGTATTCTGAATCTTGATAGCCTCATATATGGTCAACAATTTTGCTTCGAATAGGCAACTCCACAAATGTTGTAATTGGAAGCTGCAGAAACCGTGTCATTACCATACATAATATTCAACTTCTCAATTCTGATCTGACGTAAATGCGCATGTTTACATCCCACAGAAATACGCGAAGCCTCTTGAGGCGAAACCTTGCTTCTTAAACGAAGAGATTTGTGCGGTTAGAAGGGGGCTTTCTTGCAAAACTTGCTACATACCAGATGTTTGTCAAACCGAAATACATCATGTACTAAGATGTACATAAATATAATATTCATGTTCCTCCTATTATAAAAAAAAAAAACAAAAAAAACAAAAACATAGTTTAATTCATGAAGAATATTTTTTAAAATATTTTTCAATGAAACTAAACATCGGCCACCACAATCCGCAGAGACACATGTTTTCTGAATTGTAAGCTCATTAAAGATCGATTAACTGTTGTTTGCTTTACCTTCATTGGCAAATATTTCGTTCATGTTCAAGACGAGAACAAATTAAGAATACCTTTAAAATGCAAGTACTGTAAAGTAAGACAATTTAAACTCGCTCTACTAGCCAACATCTCCGATGTTTTTCTACTTTAATTATTTTGACCGATTAAATTCGGATGTTTGTTTTCTTTACAACTCACAACCCCCTTCCCCAAAAAGGGTGATTGGGGAATATAAATATGGTCACCATTGGTCTTCCTCCGACCAGCAGTAAAACCCTCGCCAAAGCGGGACGTCCGTGTGACTTTGCGTTAGTAACAAGTTTGCAGTCACGTCCGATCAGAATGGGGACGTTAAATGCGTCGTGTAAAGAGATTGACACGCTCTTTAAACGTTAAGAACCTTTGCAACAACGATTTGCGGGTCAGTATATGGCCTGTTGCGAGGCAAAATGTCTGTCCCTATCCAAGATATCCTCATTTTCCCGTGGCAGTCCGAATCAACCAGGATGACCTCTGTTACAGGACCTACCTATTGTATGTATTGTTAATTCTCGTCAATAACATGCATGAAATATTTGTCACTGGACGTTAAGTAACCAAAAATCATTCATATTGCGTGTCTATATGTCATTTTGGTTTTCTTTGTTTCATCAATTTGTACGTAATCACGACCCTTGAACATATTTCATGACAAACTTATTACCCGTTCATATATTTTATATAATTATCAGTACATTCATCTGAATTTGATTTAAAAACAGACAAAAAAAACATGCATACAGATATCCAATCGAAAGATAAAAATAACCGACTCATTTACATTTTACCTTGGTGGAATTGCAACCCACTGATATATTTGACACATCAAAAAGACACCTATTTCAGCGAAACGTCTATGTAAAACTTTCATATAGAAAGACCACTCACCTTTTTTTCCCCTCGTGATTAGGACAAAGGAAGCATATACATATATTTGTGTTAAAATACACACAGATTTACAATTCTTGGGTCAAACAAATATCTTCTCCCACTGCATTGGTGTATCCAGTACACGCCTATGCTCTACACATATCTGTTTTTCCATCTCTGTCATTTTTACATTTTTTTCCGATTTTCCTTGGATTATATGCTGTTCTCGATTATGCTAAGCTCGAATTAGAGCTTTAACGAGCTTTCAAACTTGAAAGTGAATATAACACTTATAAAAATAAATAACATCCGAGAAAAAATTCAATACCTCATATAGAGTGTGCAAAACAAAAGAAACTCTAAACCCTTTTAGCGGTAAACTGCATTTTAGATTAAGCAATAAATTGTTGAAATAACCAACTCGATACTTGATTATTTATTTCAGAAAATGAACCAAAAAAAGAAGCTCAGGACCAAACATCTGTCAAAACCAACCTTCCTGATTATGTCAATTTGCGTCAACAGATTAATATAAAAATGTCAAAGAATGAAAATCAGATGATTACTAGCTGTATCAAAATAGACAATACATTAGTGTTTACCGACTGTAGTAATAAGCGACTAATTATTTGTAATTCAGACGGTACTGATATCCATCACATTCCTCTGTCCTATACACCAGATTATGTGACAGTGGTAAATATAAATACTGTAGCCGTATCCTGTACATTTGACAGAACCATACTGATAATAAATATATCTACATGTTCTGTCACCAGTACAATCAACACCAGTGGTTACTGCTCCGGAATATCATATAATGATAATAACCTGTATGTTGTTATTGATCTGAGTATAATACATGTGATGGACCTGACAGGTAAAGTAATACGTACTATACCTTTACCTTCAGACAGTATCCACGACATTACAGTAGACAGAGACAGGTTGGTTTGTATAGACTACACATCAATATACTGCTGCTCGTTAGATGGAAAACTAATTTGGAAGTTTAAAAAGGATGAATTTCAAGATTTAAGTCGTGTTACAAAAGATGATGAGGGGAATGTTTATGTGACTGATTATAACACCAACACTGTAGTAGTAATTTCTCATGATGGTATACATTATAGAGAACTTCTTACTAAATCAGACGGATTGAATTGGTCGTGGGGAATTTATTTTGACAAACAAGAAAATATTCTGCTTGTTTGTAATCATTATGACGGAAAGGTTTTTCTTTTTGACGTAAAAAGGAAATCAACATAAATAAACATGAATAATTCTTTCAGACAATGAGTTTATTCGGACTCGGGTCTGTTTGTGCATTTTGTCATTCAAAATAACTTCTCTTTATTTTTATTTTCTATACTATCAATTACTGATTGTCATGATCTGTACAGTTGTATTCTGTATTCAAAGTAAGGACAATATTAACAATTTTATTATGTTCATGTTTTTTGTGATTAACTCTTTTTATTTGTATGTGTGACAACACATCAACTTTATATTGAAATTTAGAGAAATGTTACAAAGACATGTTGTGACAACACATCAACTTTATATTGAAATTTGGAGAAATGTTACAAAGACATGTTGTTCTTTGATTCACGTCAATTTAGGGTTTGATAGTTGGAGAAAAAAATTATAATGCAAGTTATATATCATCACATCTTTCAAAACCACATATAAATTGTTTAAGAGGAAATTCGTAGTTATTTTTTTTGTTGGAAATACAGACATTCTCTTTACGGATGTGTAGGTTGTAAATATAATCTTTACAAATTTAAAATTGTATTGTTTCGTTGGGATGCTGTCTTTTTCCTTCATTTGCCAATCCATCTGCTTCTTTCAACCCGGTAGTCTTACATGTACATTTTAAATACAATTAATTCAGATATATACATCGTTTATTTGTTCTCATCCTGAACATGTATAATATATTTGCCACTGTACGATACACAACCAACAGATAAACCAATTAATTATTTTATTCATACCAAACTATATCACATTTTTTAAGTTTATCAATGTGTTTATTTCGTAATTTGATGACAGTTTTTTTTTGGTTTAAATTGATGTTAATCGAGTACAAATAACATATGGTCTAACACCATACAGACTGATATGACTGTGTTCCAATAACTTTGTATCCTACATCAAGTTAAATTTCCATTGAAAACAAAATTACGGAAAGATTATGATTAATTTTGAAAATGTAACTTGGATCATCTAGGCTGTTGTATAATGTGGTTCGAATATTATGTTTTCTGCATTTTTAAAACATGTGAACATTCAATTGTTCTATATAATTCAATATGGAAAATCAAAAAAATTTTCCGAGTAAGAAACAATGTCATGAATGTACATGCTCTTTATCTTTTATATATAATTCACAATTTTATGAGAAGGATGTTATCCAGAAAAATGTTATCAGGCGTTTTCATCTAGATAAAAAATTCTTACTTAATCAAATGTATTGAATTCGCCGTTTGGAATTAATTTTATCATGCAAGAAAATATTCTGCTTGTTTGTAATAGAGATAACGGAAATCTTTTTTTTACGCGATAAAGAAACTTGCATAAATGAACTTAAATTATTTCATTCGAATTCGGATGTGTTTTTGCATTGAGTCATTCTAAATGGATTTTATTTGTTTGTGTGCTATCTACCAAATACAAATTCAATTTAACCAATTATGATTCATTTTACAAAATTACTACCTTGCTTTCTTATAAGTTATTCCGTATTCCGATTTTATTTAAGTATATTTTTATGTGTATGCGTTATATTATCACCGCTTAAATTGTATGTACGACAACAAAACAATTATGTTTATGAAATGGTAGAGAAATTTTGCTTAGACCCAAAAATTGTTGTTCTTTCTTTACTTCTATTTGACGGTTAGGTTGTGATGGTTGGTGAAAACTCACAATATATTTCAGAGCAGCTTTTGGAAACCGACAAAAGTAGTGTTATGTACATACTATTAACTTGACTCATTTAGAACTTTTTTATGTGTTGTATGCTTCTTGTGAACATACAATGTTCGCATTTTATCCCGTCGGGGTTTGATTTTTGCAATAAAGATTATTAGTTAAATTTTAATCATATGTATGTCCTATATTTTATTCTGTCCTCGAAATAAAAAGATTCTATACGGATGTTTAGCAAATACAACAACTTTAAAATTTTCATGTATCACTTCCATTCTCCAGTTTATAGCCTAAATAAGATCAACAACAACCCCACCCCACCTCCAGTCCGTTCCAGTAGACTTTAATATACGTATTACATCAATTTCTTATTCGTATGGTCCTTAATATGAAGGAAAGTTTTGCCACTGTACAATTAATATTTACCAATGGACGTTATTGAACCAACCATTAATATTTCACGTCCTAACGAAAATGAAGGTCAGGGTAAGAAAGCCCAAGAGGTATACATCAATGACACCATACGCAAACGAAATGAAAGATGTGAAAATATACGTCAATGAGAAAGTACCCTAACGGCACTAATTATATTAAAAAAATCTACGTCATTATGCATTTCTCCAAGGACATAAAACAAAAGATGTGACATGTGTGAATGAGACAGTAACCAAACGACACAAAGAAACATAAAAGGTGTGTCATATTCGCCAAGGACACAGTACTCAAACGAAAAAAAAGAAGATGCGGAAAAAACGTCAATGAGACTTACGACTCATATAATGAAAAAAAGTATGGCAACCTTAACGACACAAGTACTAAAGAAAGATGTGATGTCCGTTTGGCTGTGAGGGATGTATCAAGTACGCAGCCACGTCCAGACAGAATGAAGACGTTAAATCCGATGTTCGTGTAGAGAGAGTGCAACGCTCTTTGAACGTTAAGAACCCTTGCAACAACTCTTTGAGGGGTTCGTAGGTGGCCTTTTGCAATGCTAAATTTCTGTCCCTCTTCAATATACCCTCATTTTCCCGCGGTATTCTCAATTGTCCCGACCTTCATCCCGGACAGCCTCTTTTGTAATACCTATCTATTGGAGAAATGGTGAACTTCTCGTTATGAACAAGCATGAAATATTTGCCATTGGGCATTAAGCAACCAACAATCAATCGGGACTACCAGTAAAAAACGATCCTCTAATATTGAATAATTAATAAACGAAACAAGTCATTGTTTTTAATTTTACAATGTCTGGTGTAACAATTTAAATTTCTGAAACAAAGAACGAAAACTAGAAAGCCGGACCATTATGCCTTTTGTATATATTATGAAAAATATTTCCATTTAACGCGATGGTCATTTGCTAATCAACTTTGAATCGTAGATCTGATAAATAACTGACATCGTTTTGTCACTGAATGACACCTAAAAGGGGTGACTAAGGAATATAAATATGGTCACTACAGGTTTTCTTCCATTAGGCTGTACTACTTTTGCCAAATTGGGTGTCCGTTTGGCTGTGGTGGATGTACAAGTACGCAGCCACGTCCGGTCGGAATGGGGACGTTAATTCATATACCTCTTGAAAAAAGAGTGCTACACACACTACGATAAGAACCGTTGAAACAACTCTTTGATAGGACCGTAGGTGGCCTGTTGCAATGCAAAATGTCTGTCCCTTATCCCATATACCCTAATTTTTCAGTGGCAGTGTAAATTTTCCCGACCCTCATCCCGGACAACCTCTATTAAAGGACCTACATTTTGAATTTACTGTTAATTTGTTCTCTTCCTGAATATACATGAAATGTATGCCACTGGACGTTTAGCGATCAATAATCAATCATATCACTGTGTGCCCAGTTGTTCATATGATTATTATAAAATTTTACGTTAATATTACTGAAAAAAACACAAATTACGGAAATGTGAATATCTTTTTACTGATTGCACTCAATGGGGTTGGCATCTATGAAGTCGGGATATATTGACTGCCACTGAAAAATGAGGGTGAATAGGGACAGAAATTTTGCCTTGCAACAAGCCACCTACGGACCGCTCAAAGAAATGTTGCAAGGGTTCTTAACGTGCAGAGAGCATGCTGCTCTCTCGACATGAGGCATCATATTTAACGTCCCCATTCTGACCGGACGTGGCTGCGTACTTGTCATCCCGCACAGCTAAACGACGCCCCACTGTGGCAAGGTATTTTTCTGCCGGTCAGAAGAAACATGTACTGTCCATATTTCTATTCCCCACTCTTCCTTCGAATATATATATAAGTATGTCTGATCCAGTGATAACTCTACGACAGATTTTATCCATCGGATCACCAGTGATGGTGATACAAGGCTGAAACACATTCTGTATATGTAACTCGTCTACATAACAGCCCAACAATAATAGATCTGTAAATATATATATACGTCAATGAATCAAAACTCAAACGACACAAATAACTGAAACAAAGTGTAGAATGTTATTCAGTGAAACTACTCCATCGACGAAAAAAAAGGACATATACGTCAATGAGACCGGACTCCAACGACACAAATAACAAATTAAAATGTGTCAAATATGTCGAAGAAACAGTACTATAGCGACAATACTAAAACAATATATGTGACATAGACGTTAACGAGAAAGTATCCGGCGAAACAAATTATATAAATATGTCGCATAAACCCTAATGACATAATACTCCAACATCCCAAATAATAAAAAAAACTTGTTTCATTTTCGTCAATAAAAAAGTATCTGTACATAAAAAATAGTGGAACAAGTTGTACATCAACAAGACAGAATCATCACAAAGCAAAACAGTGAATGAGACAAGAGAAGCAAATATTGCATATACGCTAGAGAAAGATTGATTGATTGATTGTTGGTTGCTTAACGTCCAGTGGCAAATATTTCATGCATATTCAGGACGAGAACAAATTAACAATGAATACAATAGGTAGGTTCTGTAATAGGGGCTTTCAGGATTACAGTCGAAGAAATTTAGACTGCCACGGGAAATGAGGGTATATTGGATAAAGACAGAAATTTAGCCTTACAACAGGTCACCTACGGACCCCTCAAAGAGTTGTTTCAAGGGTTCTTAACGTGCAAAGAGCGTGGCACTCTCTTTACTCGAGATTTAACGTCCCCATTCTGACCGGACGTGGCTGCAAATTTGTACATCCCGCACAGCCAAACGGACGCCCCACTTTAGCAAGGGTATTACTGCCGGTCGGAGGAAGACCAATGGTGACCATACTTCTATTCCCCAGTCACCCTTGGGGGCGCTAGAGAAAGAGTACCCCAACCACAAAAATAATAAAAAGAGGTTGCATATACGCAGTAAGACGGAACTCCAATGAAACAAATAATTTGAAAAAAAATTGTGTCACATACGTTAATGAGACAGTAAACAAACGACACTAATAATAAAAAGCTGTGGCATTTTCGCCAACGTGAAAGTACACTAACGACGCAAGTAGTTAAATTATGTGGCATTAACGAAAATCAGACATAACTCCAACAACAGTAAAATGGTGTGGCATATACTTCTATAAGACTCAAACGACACAAATAATAAAAACAATGTTGTGGCATATAGGTGTTTAATAAATATGTTCATATCCGTCGAGGATACAGTAAAGTAGGACAAAAATAATAATCAAAGATGTGGCATATTTGACAAGGAAACAGAACTCCAACGAAACACATAATGAAAAAATGTGTCATACAACGTCCATGATAAAACAAAAGATGTGGCATCTACGTCAATGAGAGAGTACCCTTACACAGCAAATTGTGAAAAAGTCTTATGTGTCATCGAGGCAGCATCATAACAACGCAAATAATGTAAACGGCATATTCATCAGAAAGACAGAACCCTTACGACGCGAATACAAAAGAGATGTGACATTTACGTCAGGGAAACCATACCAAAACTACAAATATCTTAAAAGAGCGCATTTGTCATATACGTCAATAACACAATACACTGACGACATCAATAATAAAACAAACAATATATAGATTAGACAGTTGGTTTTCCTCCTTGAATTGTTTTACACAAGTAATGTAATAAATAGAAGTATGGTCACTACAGGTCTTCTTCCGACCGGCAGGAAAGCCCTTGCCAAATTGGGGCGTCCGTTCGGCCGTGCGGGATGTATCAAGTACGCAGCCACGTCCGGTCAGAATGGGGACGTTAAACCCGATGTTTCGTGTAAAGAGAGTGCCACGCTCTCAGCACGTTAAGAACCCTTGCAACAACTCTTTGAGGGGTCCGTAGGTGGCCTGTTGCAAGGCTAAATTTCTGTCCCTATCCAATTTACCCTCATTTTTTAGTGGTAGTCTAAATTTCCCGACCTTCATCCCGGCTGGCCTCTATTACAGGACCTACCTATTGTATGTATTGTTAATTTGTTCTTGTTCTGAACATGCATGAAATATTTGCCACTGGACGTTAAGCAACTAACCAACAATCAATCAATCTTTACATTGTGACATATACGTCAATGAAAGAATATTCTTACAAAGCAAATAGTGAAAAATGTGTCTTATGAATAAATAAAGCAGTTTCCTAACATCGCGAATAGTGGGAAATATGGCTTATGAATAAACGAGGCAGTACCCTTACAACGTAAAAAGTAAAAAAGGTGGCGAATGAATAAATAAAGCAGTATCCTAACAACGCGAATAGTGGAAATTGTAGCTTATGAATAAATAAGGCAGTATCCTTACAACGGAAATAGTTTAAAAGGTGGCTTATGAATAAATAAGGTTGTATCCTTACAATGTAAATAGTGAAAAAGGTGGCGCATGAATAAATAAGGCAGTATCCTTACAACGTAAATAGTAAGAAGGCGGCTTATGAATAAATAAGGTTGTATCCTTACAATGTAAATAGTGAAAAAGGTGGCGCATGAATAAATAAGGCAGTATCCTTACAACGTAAAAAGTGAAAAAGGTGGCTTGTGAATAAATAAGGCAGTATCCTTACAATGTAAATAGTGAAAAAGGTGGCTAATGAATAAATAAGGCAATATTCTTACAACGTAAATAGAATAGTGAAAAAAGTGACTTATGAATAAGTAAGGTTGTATCCTTACAACGTAAATAGTGACAAAATATGGCTTATGAATAAATAAGACAGTATCCATACAACGTAAATAGTGA